TTCCTTGAATATCTAACATTTAAAACAATAGCAGGGGGCCACCAGGCACCATGGAGGTTAAGGCACTAGATCCCACATGGTTGACTATGTGGTTCGAGTCTGAGACCTGACAGCTTAAAAATCAGGTGAGTACATGTGCATACGCGTCCAAAGTCCTAAGAGGAGACTGGAGAAGAAGGAACTGTGGTGTAGCTATCCCCCCCGGGAGTTCTCACTTTCTCTCTCTCTCTCTCACTCTCTCTCTCTCTAGTGAGCCCAAGCACCCTCTAGCAAAACCATAAAACAAAAACAAAACAACATCAGGTATTCAACAATACTCATTCATTTAGCAAATATACACTCAGAGCCCACTCTGCATCAAGGTTTTATCTCCAAGGACATAACAAGATGGTGTTTTTAGGGACCAGCAGGTGGCATGGACCTGGCAGCTTGCTTTTGCTGCTTTCACTTTCTCTCTCTCTCTCTCTCTCTCTGCATATGTCTCTCTCTGGTCAAATTAAAACAAATGAATGAAAAAAATGAATGAATAAATTTAAATAATTAATAAATTTTTAAAAAGATGGTGTTTTCGGGACCAGCAGATGGCATAAATGATTACAACAATGGACTACCACATAGTTGACTGCAGCTCGAGTCCCGGATCCTGCGGCTTAAAACTCATACTGGGTACTTGTGCACGCGTGCCCAAGATTGCAAGAGGAGAATAAAGGAGAAGGGATTGTGGCATGGCCATGCCCCTCGGGAGTGATTTCTCGCTTCTTTATCTCTATCTCTCTGGAGCGCATGTGCCCTATAGCAAAAATCTCTCTCAAATGTTAATTAATTAATTTTAAAAGATGGTGTTTTCAAAGTCAAGCCAAGAAGTAACTTCAAAACAACTTCTTTTCAACAGGGAGCCGGGATTCTCCTCAAATGGCCCATCTACAGTTACAGCTCTCCTGAATTCTTGCCACGTCTGTTTCCAGAAGACTTTGTACCACCTAATGTTTTCCATGAAAGCTCAAAGGAAATCAACTAGATTGGAGATGATGCAATTAAAATGTGCTTAACCAACACCGTTCCATGGTGGTGCCATTCTAAATGACCCTTGTCTTCAGAAGGCTCCAAATCCACATTGGAAGAGGAGAACAAGCTTGTTATTTACTGTGTTTGTATGTGTCAGGCACGATGTCTCTCGTGTAGTTTTGACTTACTGCTCACAACTTCTTTTTAAATCAAATATGCACTATTTAGCCTCGTTTCATAGTTTGTCGAATCGATACTCAGAAAGACTTAATATTTTCCCAAAGTTGCACCGTAAATAATAGAACTGAGAGTCAAATCTATGTCAGACTCCTAACCGTGGACTTGAAGCCATCACACTGCTGTCCCCACTATGGCAACACGAAGTAGTGCAGTAAACTCCAGGGGAAAGAGCAGTGCAAACATTTTATTTTTAAGAAAGATTTTGGTATAGGGTATGTGTGCTCACCAGTCAGAGAAACAGAAAGCAAGACATCACCACCGGAGGGATGGCCACACTGCAATCCCTTCTCCTCAATTCTCCTCTTGGGATTTTGGGCACACACATGCCCGGCATGAGTTTTAAACTGCTAGGTCTGGGACTCGAACCACAGTCAACTACCTGGGAGTCCAGCAACGTAACTATTACACCATCTGCTGGTCCCGAGAAGTGCAAACTCTACCAGAGACCATGATAAGGCACCTCCCACAGAGAGCTGGTACAGACTCAATGAGGACTGAACCCTGGAGTTACAGGAAGTGACAAGTCCAGTTTGATGCAAAATTTAAATTTCCTTATTTCTTAGGGAAGCCTTTATTAATGATAATTCTTTGAACTAATGGGAATCCAAAATAGTACAAAGAATTATCAGGGGGTCAGCAGGTGGCATGGTGGTTAAGATGCTGGACTCCCACACGGCCAATCGTGGTTCAAGTCCTGAACCTGGTGGCTTTCTTTCTCATTCTCCCTTTCTCTCTCTCTCGTCAAATTAAAAATTAACAATAAATAAATAAAGTTAAATAATTTTTTTTAAAAAAAAGAATGATCAGAATACAGGGCAGAAGTAAGATAAAGAAATAAGTCAGGGGTAAGCACAGGGACAAAGGAAAAGAGGCACAGAGAGGGAGACGCATATAAGAAGAGAGAGGGAAGGAAAATGTAACAGTTTCTAAGTACTAAACAGAGTATCGCATTTACGGAAACGATTTCAGTAATTTCAGTACTACGAAGAGACAGGGAGTTTTAGGAATCCTCGAAAATCATTTTAGAGATGAAGACCTCAAGTCCAAAGAGATTAAATCATTTAAGACAAGGTTGCATGGGGTTAGAACTGGGTATATAACTTGGGTTTTCTGGTTTCCTGGCTATGGTTCTTTATAAGATTTATCTCCCCTCTTGCAGTCTGAGTTTTATGTAGAAAATGAGGAATGTGGATTAAGCCAGTTGTTTCCAAATATCAATCTGTGAACCATCCGAACGACAAAAAAAAATCACCTAAGAAGTTTGTTTGTTTGTCTGTTTAAATTCTTGCCAGAGGGTGCATAGCCTTGCCAGACAAAGGGGAAGAAGAAAGCACCCCTCCAAGTGGCACAGTCATACCGTAACCCCTTCTCCATTTCTCCTTCTGGGATTCTGGGCATGCATGCACGTGTGCCTGGCATGTTTTTCAAGCTGCAGGGTCCAGAACTCGAACCATACGGTTTGCCATGCAGGATCCAGTGAGGCCATGGGCTGGCGCCCTGGAGAATTTTTCAAAATGTTCAACTTCAAGCAGACTGCCTAGAGCAACACCTGCATCTGTTAGAACAACTGCTGCACCTCTCACCACCGTTTCCCAGAATGGATCCACAGGTCCTGGTGCTAACAGGGTTTGCCCAAGACACTAATAGGGGGAATTACCCTCTTCAGCCATCCATGGACCCCAGATGAACAGATGAAGATTAATCCCGAGTGCTCGTGCTATTACTTTTTCACATTATTTTACTAACCCAACTACCAGCCAGCACTTAGAAACTAATTATGTGTGAGGCACTAGGCTGAGTGCTTTAATACCATACCATATACTCCTCATAAAGACTCCTGAGTTACTCTTCCAATCCCCTCTTAACAAAGGAAGAAACTGAGGCACAGAAAGAGTAAGCAATTTCCAGCTGTTAGGTTGAGGGCAGGAGCCTTCCCGCCCCCCAGGCAAAGTATGAGCCTGAAGTACCTTCAGGGGGTATACCAGGTACACAGGGTGAGCTGGGGATCTGTTTTTGCCCTGAAATTTTCAATAAAGATTCTGTACTTCCTCATATTTTCTGTTGATTTCAGAAAAAGAGCCCTTTGGCTCTAACTTTATCTTGAAGCACTTTCAAATGCAGATGATCCCTTTCTCCAGGTTCCAGGGGAAAAAATCTGAATGACATAGGAAAGAGCGTGTAGACTACAGGGCGGTAACTAACTAAAACTGCCCCTGCTGCTGCTCCTCGCTCCCCGGGAGGCCCAGACGTCATTAGGGTAGCAGTTTTGTTTCTTAAAAAGCACTTAAACACTCGGCACACTGGCCTAACTGTCAGGAGGCGGGATGAAAGCCCCGGCCCTGTTACTCCCCTTCTCCATGTCTGCTAAGGTCTCCCCTCTGGATCGACCCACCAGAAATTTCAATTTTAGTGAAAACCAGCCTATTTTGTCCCTCTTCAGAGACTCAAAGTATAAAATCAAAAGATATTAGTAAACTATCATTTTAGTAAACTATCAATCCAGAGGTTCCCCCAATTTAGATTTCACAGACCAGTAAATGTTCCAAAACAAGTTTAAAAAGTCTAACCGAACTTTGTATCTTGCTAATTAATGATATCATCTAAACTACCGTCTAATACCAATTCTTTCATTAAAAACTAAAGGCTATTTTAAAAGAAAAGCAACTTCAGAATTAAGGATAGTTCTTAACTTCATGAAAACTACATTTTCCTTATCATTTTTATGTTATTGAGAACTGATGTCTCCATCCTGCATCTATCTGTCTGTACATCCTTCGGTTTGGAAACCAAGGAGTCTGTGGCCAAAACGATTCGGTCACTTGTTCAAGGTCACAGAGTGCTATTTACCGATCTAGGAGAAAGCCAACTCACAGCTAACTTTTCCCCAAGCCTCTACTCATCCTCAGGTCCCTAGCCTTAGGCCATTTTTAGAATCTTTCTGTCACGGTGGACAGAAGAAAGTAAAAAAATTAGCAGCGAGCCCCAACGAGGAAACTCAGGCCATGACTCCCCCCTTCCACCCC